GCGCTCGCACTGCAGGGCTCTGAACGTACACACCCCCTCCCTCCTTGAGAGAGTTTCTGTGCTCACATGCTATGAGTGGTCCAGAAATCTGTCCGAGAGATGGTCTCGATAACAAAGGGAGGAGTAAACCCAAAGCTATAGGTGTATTACTATCTGGGCGACTCACTCATTGCCTATAATTGTAAATAAGGTAAGTTCACACGACGATCGAGTAACGAGGGAACAAGAGCTCCATTTTAATCAGGTGGTTATCTCTCCTTGGTGGAGATCAGAGCTCCATTGCTCCTGGCCTTCTCATTGTGCCCTCCTGCTGGAAATGACAGCTCCTTCAGAAATAACCAACTTGGTCCCTGGATGGGATTTCAGCTCTTTTGCACTACACATGTACCAATTGTCATTTTACAGCTACAGCGAAACCCCTAAATTATATAAGTGTATAAACTGAGCCTCATTAAATCCCCCCTTTTGGATAGCCTCAAGGTTGGAGAGTATATTACTGTAAGCCAAAGAAGACTTAAATTATATCCGAATGGGGATTGAAATGTAGTGGCACTTAGGCACACTTCTTGTCTCAGCTACAGAGGTTTCATTTTTTCCCCTTTAGAGTCTTATAATATTACAAATGCAAAGTTTCCTTATGTCAAATCAAACTATCTAAAATTCTATTTCTTGATTGAGCCTCCGGGGCCCTTTTCGGTAAGGACAAAACCACAAAGATATGATCAAACACCATAGCCTGACCAAAGCGGAGTTTATCGTTCATCTGAGAGAGCTTCCTAATTTGAAACTAAAGCCTTCCCCTTCCAGAGAGCATCTGAACGTGCTGAGTTGTTTTCCTGCGCATGTGTGCGGGTAAACCGGGGTGTGCAGTAGGGACAGGGGACCGAGGGCAGTGTTTACCCCGCGGCTTAGAGCACACCCTGCCCACGGGTTGGTGTTTTCACCCAAGCCGATATGAAAATAACCATTTCGGAGGGAGCCCCGTGCCCGCCCAGGGATATGGCAGGGCCGGGGATTCTGCCCGGGGCCCCTCCCCGTCCCTCGTCCCCCCGTGGGGCGCCCCGGAACCGCTGCCCCGAGTCCCCTTTGGGGCAGCGCTGCCAGCCCCGGGAGCGGGGCACGGCCCCGGCGGGGTTCGCCCTGCAGAGCCCCCGCCAAGCCCCCCAAAGCTGGGTCTGTCGGGAGGGGGCCGCCTTCCCCCCTCCTCCAGCCCTCGCAAGAGGGTCAGTGGTTTAACCAGGCGTCACCAGGACTTCTTTTTATCCCCGGTCCACTGAAGCGTGTGGCTTTTAGTGACTGATGGCCGCTGTGGCTGTACGCGGCACAGTTGCTCTCACGGTGCGTGCTCCAGATGGGCACGTCCCGCAGGCTCGGGGCGGGGGGGCACGGCCGCTTTGGAAAGGCCACCGAGACACTGAGATTTGTTCTGGGTCAACCCTCCCCTAACGCCAAAGTTGGGAAACAACTTTCGCAGCGTGTGTCGGGAAGGGAGGGAGAGGCAGTGGAGCGGCAGCGGGTGCCGCGGTGCGGGGCGCCGGCATTTGGGGCTGCCCAGGCCGGGGGCCGCCGTGGCTGGGGGCTGTCCCCCCACCCGCCCCGGCGCATCGCCCCCGTTCTTCTTCCTCTCCGAGCCTCGGACGCGCAGACAGCACGTTTCCAAACTTTGAAATGCCAAATCAAGTTATTGCTGTGGCAGGAGGCTGCTTTCGTATCTGTGACAGCTGAGTTTTCCCCATCGATTATGTGACACTGCAGTTCATTTACACAGCTCAAAAGCTTAAAGACACTGGAGGAGCCCCCGGTTTAACCCGAAATCCTAACAGAAAGTGAATCAACTTTCTGGCCAGTGTTTAAACTGATAGATCAAAACTTAATTTGGAGAGACAGAAAGGGAGAGAAACGACAGCACGGATTTATCTTGCCCGGCGTCCTTCGCTGAAACTTTAGAAACTGCGGCGTGGAAAATCCAGGGCCGAGATGCTAATGAGAAGGAGCGCGTTGGGTGTTCAGGGATGTTACAGATTTCAGAACGCGGATTACAGCCACTGATTTTTTGAGCGGGTGCGTGAAATAGGTGCCTGGCCCGAGGCTGCCGGGTGGCTCCGGGGCGTCCCTGCCCGCGGGGTCGGGCAGAAGTTCCCGGCCCATCCGGAGCGCCCCGGCCCCGCCACGGGGCGGCAGGGAGGCCTTGGGGAAGGGGGGGGGTGGTGCTGGGAGGGTGGCATTTTCCTCTCTCCCATGGGGACGGGATCGTCCCCCTTATGCTGCCGGGTTCTTCCCTGGGCTTCTTTTAGTGGGGGCTTTCCAGGAGCCAGCCCAGCGCCCGGTCCCTGCCGCTCCCTCCCCCGTCCTCGCCGAGGTTTCATTACTTGCTGTTAGAGCCTGGAAACAATAAAGGATGTGGGACTGGGCTTTTATTGATTATTTGTCACCCTGTATTTGTCAGTTTCAATAACTTTTCCTGAAGTTTTACTTACGGGCACTTGAGCTTTCGGATTAGGCCAGCTCTGCGGATTGCAGTGAGGGGTAATTATCCGCTGGCCTGCTTCCCTGCAGCCGGAGAGAAAAGAGCATTAACGTATAGAATGGGCAGGATCCGGCCTGAGCCCCCCCTAAAGCGCTGCCCGGGCCAGAGGCGGGAGCAGCCGCGGCCCCGCCAGCTGCCCCCGGCCCCCCCGCCGCCCGCAGCCCCGGGGTGCAGCGAGCCCTCGCTCTGCCTCCCGGGGGCCCGGGCCGGGGGGCTCCCCCAGGCTGCCGGAGTCCTCCCCCCTTCCCTCGGTTTAGAGGCGACAGATCAGCCCTCAAGAGACGGTCCCGCTCTCGGGAGGGGGGACCCACGGCTCTGGGGCCCGAACCGGGGCTCTCGGCTGCGGCCAAATCCCCGGGATTCAATTAAAAAGCTGGCTCGCGCCGCTGGCGGGGAGGCGAAGCCGGGGGATTTGTATTATGAAGATCGACTCTTCAGAACTGCCCGCCTGGCAGCCCGGCCGCGCTCCCGCCGGCCGAGGGGACCCGGCTGCCCCGGGCGGAGCCCCCGGGAGCGGCAGCGGAGCCGCGCCGGTGGCTGCGGGGACCTGTGGAAAGCGCGGGGGGCAGCGGCCCCCGCCTCTCTCGCAGTGTTTTCAGAGAGGGGTGTCAAACCTTCCTCGAGAGAAAAGACCTAATCCCTGGCCATCTTCCTCCTCTAATAAGTTTCCTACGTCTTCCAAGTGCTGGTCGCTGCTCCAAACGCGCTCCAGCCATACACATTGTAAGCACGCTGAAGGCGAGCATCATCGTTCCGCGGGCTGGCAGGGTGCCTATCGTGGCGAGGATAACGTTTGATGTGCTGTATCTCATGCCACTGCAAGCTAAGAGACAAGCGAACACAGAGTGCCCAGTTAAACGGGATTTAATTACAGCGGAATGCATTCTCCATGCTGATTAGGAGCAAAATCAATCGGGGGCTTATTTGCCACAATGAACCAATAAAAACCCAATTTATTAAAGCAATAATCTCAGCCCCAAATGGTCTAAATATTATTGTTTCAATGGCATTGAGGGAGTTTGGAGTAAAAGTGTTACACAGCGAAGATCGGGGAGCCCTGCTCCGTGAATTCAGTAGGAGTTTCTAACCCTGATCCAGGAGCTCACTTTCTGGCTCAGAGGTCTTGGAAGAAGGGGGCCAAGTTCCTCTGTATCAGGTCCAGGTGTCTGGGTCCCTGCAGTACCTACAAGGCAAGATGCTCAGTGGTCCACAGCTGTCTGTGCTGAGGCAAACATGGCAAACAGCTTCCTACCAGGTCTTAAGGATTTCCTGCTTTCCAGTGATTTATATGTGCAATTCCTGGAGGAGGGTAGGCCACACAAAGATCCCCAAGCTATAGGCCGACATAAAAGCCTTGTGATATTGTTAGAAAAACATCACATAATGTGCCAAAAATCTCTCTGGTAAGGACGAGGGAGAAAGGGATTCCCTCAGGAGGGTGCTGAGCACCAGGCTGGGGCACGCGGGGAGACTGGGGCACCGTGGTGCCCTCTGTTCCCCTCTCCCACATGAAATCAGTCCCGAGCCATGCCACCCCACGGGGTGCAGGGTGCTCCCCTGGGCACTCGGTGGGAGGCTGGAGGGGTGAGGGAGAGGCAGCGCTGGTGGGCCAGGTCACCCTGGGAATTGCGGGGTCCAGCAGAGCTTAAAGTCTGTGACTCAGGAGATGCTGATTTTGCTTTACAGCTCTCTGTAACTCCAGTCATCTCTGTCCCAAACCGGAGAGGACCTCATTTCCTGCTCAGTGCTGTGCCAGCCACAAGGTCTTTTCATAAGGCTGCCAGGGGTGCCTGACTGCGGGAAGGACAGTCAGTGTTTGTCACCAGGGAATGAGCTGGCATCATAGCTCTAATCTGAGTCAACAACCTGGCTAGCCCTGAGCATGACTTCATAAATCATGGTATCTAATTGAAAGACACATGCTTGTATATAGTGTTGTTCAAAAAGAAAGAAAAAAAATAGAATTTAACAAACACTTTTTTCTTCCCACTAGCCTAATGACCTGATTGTTTCAATTTACATTATTTCATGCAGAGAAAAAAAGCGAAAGTATAAAAACATCTTGTATAGCCATAACAAAAACACAAATGAAAAAATTCATCTCCTAATGAGAGGCTTAGCCTTTTTCTAACACATCCTTAATAATAGGGGAAACAATCTTTAAGTGTTTTTAATTTAAATTGTTTTCATGTTTAATTCACTATTGCTAAATAATATTATGAAGTGTCTATGTATCCATTTAGTGTTGAGGCATATGATATTTCAAAGCAATTGAACCAGTTTTGAAAGGAGAAAGAGTCCTGTACCATGCCTGCATTCACTGTTTTTTTTTAATGTTAGTTAACACACGTATGCTGGACTGCCTTTTTTTTATCCTTCCAGTAGAAATGAAAAGTAAGTCTGGAACAAAAGATCAGTTATGTGCTTTTTGCTTCCCACACCCAAACCTCCTGCTTTATTTTTGTATCCATAGGGTATGTGTGATCTCCTCCCATGAGAGGCAACTCAGCAGCTCGGTCCCCTCTGCCATCTCAGCACTGCCAGTGGAGAAGCCCAGGAGGAGCAGAGCAGTGCCTGAGCAGCAATTTGAATATCCATATTTAACTCTTCAAACAACAGAAGACACTTCAGAACCATGTGTGAGACAAAATGCCATTAAAGTTTCAATCATTAAACCTCTGTTTAGCTGTACTCCAGAAATGAGCAGTTCATAACAAGCGGGGAATACTGATTGACAGTTTGCCATCAGGAGCCCTTAAGTAGGATTTTTCCAGCTATAATGCAGTGTACTCTTCAGTGCTCCCTTTTGCAAGATGCTATTTCAAGTAGAGGAGCATGAGGAAAATTTACATAAAAGCTTTGTATGTAATATGTGATTGCTCTGAAATTAAGAAGCACCAGTTTTCCCCTTATTGTTTCAGAAATGAAGAGTGCACTTTGTTTTCTTGTTTACTTAGTGTGCTCTGTGATCCCTTGATGTGTTTCAAGTGTTTTCTGTCAGCATCATGAGACCTTGCTTACCTGCTAAATTTTATGTGTGAAGTGATTAGTGTTCAAAGTGCCTGAAAAAACCAGCACTAACGATGTCTGACAACTTTTGGGTTTTTTTTTTTTGCTTTTTCCTCTTAAATAATATTTCATGGTACATTAAATAGGTTATGCCGTCTCTTCTGAAAGACCAAAGCAATGTGTTGCTGCATACTTAATGTTTCACCAAGCAGATAGTTTTTAAAAGGAAAAAAACCCGAAGGCAGCATAGAATCCTTTCCCTTAACCTTGTCTCAGCTTCTTCTCAGTTCAATAAGAAGTGGTAGTAACTTGGAGAAAGATAAAGAAAAATAAATATTTTTTCACAATAAACCTCTTAGTGTGTCACTTGTGATCACCAGCAGATATTAGAAATGCTTCTAGTTAAATCCACTGAGCATTATTTCTTCACAAGCTGAAATGTTTTTAGCCAAACTGTTCTCTCGATGTTCGCATCGGATGTACCAGTCAGAGCCAGAGCAGCCCAAGAGAGAAGCAAACAATTAAAACTTTTATGTATTTGATTCTTGATAGACATCCCTACGAGGTAGGTTTTAACGTTTTGGTTTTTTTTCTTCTTAATTTTTTGTCTTTTTTTTTTTTTTTTTTTTTTTTTTTTTTCAGTAAGAAGGATAAGCTTGGAGTGCCCAGTCACCGTGGTAACTGCCAGAAAAATTCTCCTGAAGTTTGAAGAGGTCAGCTAACGGGGTCAACAACTCTGGCCTCTCTCTGAGCTGGGCCTGGCAGGCTCCATCCTGCGGTTGGGGTGTTAGCGCAGGCTGAGCCCTGGGAGGTGGACCATTCCAGCTCTGATATAAATTTTTTGAGTCAGTTCACGGCCTGGACTCTCCAGGTGGCCTCCAAAATCGATTGTGACCTTGTGACCCTGTCTAACGGAGGCATAGCATCCAACCTAAGTAAGGATTTAGCCAGGAACGACAGCTTTCCACTGAGTGTTATTGGGGACAGTACAAACAGTTTGGGAAGCAAGGAGGTAGGTATGAGGAGTAGAGGTCATTAAAAGCATATTAAAAAACAATTTTAAAAATCCTTTTTAGTTGAAAGTTTTTATTTGCAGTAGCCATTCCTTAAATAAATCCTTCTGGTAACTATTTTTTCCTTCCATAATAACTTTGTATCAAGTGCTTCAGTGCAATAATACATGAAAAATTGTCACTTTGCATATTTCAAACCAAACTAATATTTTATCTACCTCTGGATTTTGAACTTGTAAATGAAGCTGACTGGCATGTGTTAAACTAAATGTCTATGAAGTGTTTTTTTTTTTCCTTAATATCATACAAACTAGGAGACTGCTTTTTAAAATGGGCTATTTATTTTAGATAGTATTTTCCCTAATATGTGCATTCTTTTTAGATTCAAAAGTCTCTTAATCCCTGTAATCTATTTTTAAACTGGGAAATTAGGTAACATTCAGAATAGTGTGGAATGAAAACGTGGGTGTTTCAGTTTTCCTTTACTGGTTTGCAGTACAAATAGAAAAGCTTGTAAACCAATTATTTATTTTTATAGGAAAAAAATTGATCATGCTAAGATCAAATTCTTAGAGAACATGATATTTTTTTTCCTTTAAGATTTTAAGCAACAAACTATGTGAGGGATGGAGGGGCTGCAGATTTCTGATTTTGTTGTTGAATCTAGAAACTTGCCCTTCAAGCAAGTGGATTTGCTCTTGTGTTTTATTCCCACTGCTACAAGACCTCGTGCATTGCTCACACGAGTAATTGGTAATTGTCAGATCTATTGGCCAAGGTCCTGTCTCTTACAGGGTCATCATAATCTGCTCCAGTGGGAGCAGGTTTGAACACCAGGGGTAAGAAATGGGGATGAATTTTGCCATAAAATAATTTAAGGCCCACACCTGCACATTCAAATATCCATAGTGATACTATTTAATTCTACCCTGAATACTAATAATAGTTTGGTTTTGGTGGTCATTTTTAACAGAGCTCTGCTGAAAAGAATTTATTCCCATTAGGATGCATGTTGATTCAGGGGAGTGGCTTCTGTGGTTGAGCTTGGGAGGATGAAACTTACAGCCCTCAGTGAGAATCAGAATATTAGCTTGTTTTTCAGGAAAAAAAAATTAAAATAGGACTGTAAATAGCTGGATGGTGAATCTTCAATATTTTCAAAAGCATCTGGGTAATTTTTTATATTTTTAAAAATATATACTTATATCTGCTTTGTATTGTCAACACTCAGGGACCAAGTTCTACCTGACAAACAGGGGATCACTTCTGAAAACAGATAGAACTATTCCGCTGGAATTTTCAGACCAGAAATGCCCCAAATTTTCCCTAAAGCCTCCAGCTTGGAATGAGGAATTGTTGGCAGAGGCAACAACAAGGATATCTCAAGAACTTTAACTTGCTGCAAATTCTTTATTGTTGACTTCTGTAGATCTTATGGAATTTATAATCATCTGCAAATCTACAAATGTCACTCAGAGTAGATCCTGGTCTTGCATGTTTTGTACCTCTTCACGTTGTTCAGTTCATCCACATCCAAGGATTTGGAGTGCCTAGGGGTGCCTGGGTTAGCAGTAGCTGCAGTGGACAATTCTTCCCCATCAGTGCAGTGAAGCACTCACTCACATTTGACTGCTTGGAAAGCTCCCTGAAGTGCAGGCTTTTTGAGTTTTACCAGAGGGATGTATGTGAATGGGCTTAGTGCTGTGTTAGAGATAAACCATCAGAATCACCAAAGTGTGTGGTGGCTCCCAGCCCCTGCCCTATGCACCACTGAAAACACATGAAGCCTTTCACTGCAGCTGGTCTGGGGAATTGTATTAAATAGTAACGTCCATAGTCCTCAATTAAAATTCCTTATTAGATGAGTACGTGGCAGTCTGCAAGAAAATCTGAGGTCTGAAGGTAGTCTGCTACCTGAAAGCTCAGAGGATGTTTGCTGTACAGGAATATGTCTCAGGTCATGGGCCATGAGGTGTTGGGAGGTGTTTTGTTAATTTTTTTAAATTAAACACATGCCCAGTTAAATGAATGTATTTTATTACTCATACAAACAAACAAAACAACAACAACAAAAGAACTTCAAAATAAGATAAAGAAAATAAAAGTGCTAAATGGACACTGAAGCCTCAGCCTAGTTCTTGTCTGCTTGTGTGCAAAGCCTGCATTCCCAGTGTCTGCAGGGCCAAAGAAGCTCAGCTTTAGAGAGCAGCACGTTGCCTTGGCCTGGATCAGGGCTGCCAAAGGTCTCTGGGTTCTGGAGGAAGCAGGGAGGGCAAATGAGCACTGGGACCCACAGGTGTGCTGGCAAAAGGTCCTAAACGAGTGCTGCGCTTCCGTCTGCTTTTACTCCTTCCTCTCTGCCTTGAGAGTGTGTGGCTGGTGTCCAGAGGAAAAGTCAAACTAATTCTGATGCCTTTTCCTATTCTGGGTGGACTAATTCAAAGAAAGCACTTATGGCTGCCTTTGTGAAAGGGTTACAATATAGGTTCATACTTTAGGAACTGTAGGAAGTTCTTAATCCTTCCCTGCCTATGGGGCTGTCATTTATAGACCCGCTATTGTCTCATCTTTTATAAGGATGTTTCCTTACATTCAGGTTCTAAGAGCAGCCAGACTTTGCCATTGTTCACAGCTATTTCTGTTTGTGGCTTAATGCACATCTAGTATTCTGTTTATGCTTTCACTGCTCTCCTACGCAGCAGACTGTACCTACACACCAGCTTAGGTGACATCACTCTCAAAGCATTAATTTCTGTGGGTTTTTTTTCCTCCTGATTTGTCTGTGCATCTTGATTTTGCATTAGCCTAGTTTATTATAAGTAACCTGATAAAATACATTGGAACTTTTTGCATTTATTTGTCATTTCATCTTAATTTCTTGTTTGATAAACTTGCTTATAAAAAAAAGCTTTTAGGTGTTTTTTTTTTTTTTAATAACAGCAAAACCCCTCTTACAATGTAAGAAGAATTAATTCAGCCATGAGCAGAAAAAATTGAAGCATAGATAATTTTGAATGTGTAAAATTTAGCTTGGTGTTAATGGTGGTTTAATTACTGATTTTTTTTTTTTTGTTATGGCTATTCATAAAGACATCCATTGTTTTCTGGTTTGATTTATGTCCAGATTAGCCCCCTTCAGAACCTCATTTCTGGCAATCTCAGCAACATGTGAGGGCCTGGCAGCTTGTGCAGACATTGCCATCTTCCCTCACTGCTCCTTCTCCTGAGCTGTTCCACCAGCTCCAAAGCCTGCCATTCCTCAGGACCCCTTAATGATACCTCTCCTCCATCGTCTGCTCCATGGCCCTTCCAGAACCAGGTGCTTTTGTTGAAGTTTTCAAACCAATCTAGAAATAGATACTGAAATAAGGGCAGGTGGTGTGGTGGTGGGATGACATTGTGTCACTGCCTTCCTGCCCTGCATGGGAAGATAACAGACCTCCAGAGCTCAGCTCTATGGCCATACAATGAGAATGATAAAAACAACATCTTTGCAAACCACTTATATGTCTGAAAAATTTGATGCAAATTAAAAGCTACCTATGTTTTGTCAAACCTAACTCTACCCAGCACTTCACCTTCTCCGCCGCCCTCTCAGCTGCTCGAGACTTGCCAATAAGCCTTTTAGAGTCACTGCTTTTGCATGGTGTCTTGCAAAATGTGACATTTGGGCTTTTAAACTGCCCTTGTGTCATAACATACATAGCATCACTAATATATCCTTTTTCCACATGCATCCTCACTTTGCTGGGAAAAAAAAATCTCAATTCTGAACAAACTACAAACAGCCTGCCGATGCAGGGTGAGGAGTGCCCAGCAACCTTTGTGTGCTCAAGGCACAGCTTTATCCTGGCCATCAGTGGGACAGTGCACATGGGAACGTGTGATCTATTCCTTCCTGAGCCCCAGTGATGCCTTGCTTTGCAGTTCCTCTCGCTGGTGAGTCTCTCTTGTAATTTCCAGTTATGTAACCCATCTCATTTTGTGAATATGTGAATTTAACAGCTGTCAGTGTCAGCAGCGCCTGGGAGGGGTGTGTGTCTTTTTTTTTTTTTTTTTTTTTTTTTTTTTTTTTTTTGGGGGGGGTTTTTGTTTTTTTTTTTTTTTTTTTTTTTTTTTTTGGCAAGCTGGCATTACTCATCAGTCTCATGGTAGTTTTGTTTGAAAAATGCTTGTGTTAGAAAAAGTGGATTTATCAGCTCAGCACTGTATGGTGCTAGCATGCAGCTCAACAAAAGACAAGTGCTCATTTCAGTAACGCTTGCAGCATTTCATGGGGCCCCCAAATAGGCTGAACAAGGCTTCTCTGGCAACTAACCCCAAGTACAGTGGGAAACTATTAAAGTGGCAGTGTCACTGCTTGGAAAAGGGATTTGGTTTTCTTCCATCATTTATTGCTGCAGGGGGTTTTTTGTTTGTTTGTTTGTTTGTTTTCTTATTAAAGACTATGAACTGCATTAGGAATTTCCCTGAATATTGGAGAAAAAAGAGGCCTTACTGAAAATTTGTGCTTCTAGAAGTGACTTTTTTCTCTCATGGTTTCTTGGAAGATAGATCAAAATGTCAGTCTGCCCTTCCCAAAGTGGATCTGTTTTATGGGGAAAAATAAGATACTTGCAGCTTTTTCAAGTAATACTACAAAGTCAGTGGTACTGCAGCCTTTCAGGGAGGAATCATTCTCTGTTCAAATCAGTTTATTTTCAGAATGATTTGCTGCACTTACACTTTCTTTTGTAGCTGCTCTTCCAGAATGCAAATACAACCTGGAGAGTTTTCTGTATTTAATTGAATGTGTCAGGTGGTTGAAATCATGTTTTAAAACCAGCATTACATACTGCAAATGTGTCAAACCCTTTGTTCACACTTATTTAAAACAAATGTATCTTTCAGTATTTGTTTATTTATTCTCTCTGTTTACATTTCACACAGATGGTAAAGATAAACCAGTGGGTTTAATTTTTGTTGAAAAATTGCCTTTTACGTTTTTAGGTTCTCATAATCCTGGCAAGATGCTACAAACCCCACGTGACAAAGATCACAGGGAAATACTTGAAGAAACCTCTGCCATTAGCTGTGCTGTAAGATTTATAAAAGGTTCAATTTCATAAAATGCAAATTCTGGACTAATTGTTCCTC